ATTTCTTATCATACTGCCCTAGTTAACACATCTTCTAAGCATTCTGTTCCCTGCTCCTACTTTTACTTTTCTAGTACTGCCCTGCACTTAACCTTACCAGCCCCTCAGGCCAAAGTAAATTCACCCAATAGTAAAACCTTAACTCAAGAAGATTCAGTCAATCACTTTCAGCTGCTTCAGCCTCTTCAGCAATTTTCATGTATTTACACAGTTGTTCTCATTCTGATTTTTTACTACTCTCTTATTTATTAAGCATTTCTATTTTCTCTGTTGTTTATGAAAATGTTTCGAGGCAAGAGTGTATGCTTTAATTCCTTTATTTCAGTTTCACTAAGCCTTATTCAGCCTTCCGAACAGCTTGCTGGAAACAGACTATAGTCATAGCAGCAACTATGATATGGCTGAAGGAACAGTAACATCAGGTAATCCAGCACTCTTCAGGCCAGTTTGGTATTTCTGCTTTAACATCTGGGGCTTTGTAGCTCTGCGAAGTTGGTTTTGTGTGGGGGTTTTTTGTTGTTGGGGGTTTTTTTTTTTTTTTTTTTTTTTTTTTTAATTTGACCCGAGGACTGGCAAAATTAATTTCCAACTTCAGCTCCTCCATACAGCAAAAATTACCCACAAACTTTCCTCTATTATTAAATGGCTTATTAGGTTTTGGTAATTTGGACTCTCTGTGAATTTATGTTATAGATCATCTTGTTACTAGAACACAGTTTCCACACCATCTTTATTTTGCATCCTTTCCTTACTTCATTTTTAAATTCCTCAACTACAACACTGAAACATCTATACTAAACAAGATTAAATGCATGGGAACACTATTGAAGACTGATGGTAATAGTTGTCCAATGCATAAAGATGCTACAAAATACAGAAAAATGACCATTTTAAAATTGGTTGTTTGTTGACTCCCATCTACTTTAAGTCATAATTAATGTTTTTCCATATTAAGGAATCATTATCTCTTATATAGTATGGGTTTATTTGTGTTTGAATTACCTTAAAAAAACCAAACATTGCCATTTACATGCATGTACTCTACAGATTTTGACATTATAAAATTAATATTGCTACAGTATTTGTTTTAATTAAACTCAATGATTTTTTTGTTTAAATACTGATACTTTCCCCCATACCATACAGCTAAATTTAAAGATATTCAAGACTGGAAAGTCTAAAATCACAATTATACGCAAGAACCAAATGGATTAACAAAATTAAACAATCTTCTACTGAAACATTCTTTCCTACCCATCGCAACCTTAAAATTCCATTATCATAGTGGCAAATGATATACACAGTTTGACAGGGAGCATCACTGACTAATAATATGTCTTCAGTTGTCTTCAGACAAGATGGAAGCAGCAACCAAGTAAAACTCCAGCTGCCCCAATACAGGAAGAGCAATACAAAGAATGTGAAAAACACTGATTCCAGACCAAATTAGAATAGTTAAGCAGAAGCCAGAAATGGGATCTTTTCCTCAGAAAGGAAGAATGTGCAGTCAAAAGAAAAAGGGGCAAAAAGTATTTGCTTGAAATTTGAATTCTGTTGTATGTGCCTCATCCTATATAAAGACAGTTAGTGTAAAGGCAAATTAGTAATTAAAGAGACCTGGACATCTGTATAACGAAAGGAGCATCTAGAAAACACATTAAGCCAGAAGAGTTTATCCAGCACTTCTTAGAACATGTGGAAGCCTTACGTATTTCTAGCAGAGGAATTCAGCCATACTGCCCAGGACCTCAAAGAATAATTCCAAACCCTTAATGACACCATAACTCAGTATGCTATACTTATTACGTACATCCCCTTACAGAGGCTCTACGTTTTTTCTTACGTTCTGCACTACACAATCCAGAGCATCTTTTGTCCTTCCTTTGCAAGAGAACTGCCCATCCTTACTGAACTTTTGCAAATAACAAATAAACTGTCAAAGCTCTTACAATGAAGAGAGGAGAGATCAATAACCTGTAGGATTCACTTTAGGAGGAGGCATAAGGATGGTACAGCTCAATGTGATCCCAAGAGCCTGAAGACTGCTTTATTCTTCCTGTTTTTCTTTGGAGAAAAACATGGAAGAAACAGTACCATATGATCTTCCAGGTCCAGATAATGACCAGTATCTCACTGAAGTATGTGGAAGAGGAAAAGAATTAGTCCTACAGAACTTGAAGTACAGCCAAGATAAAAAAAAAAGTTTCATAACAAAGAAATGTAAATTAAATACAAAATAATAATAATTTAAAAAAAGAAAAAAAAAGTTTTGGCCTTTCTCCTTAGGGAGAAAAAAATGCCTTGTTCAGCCAGTCTGCCTCAAGTTTTCCTTTTTATTTCTAAAGATAAACTCTTTGACTATACCACCATCTGGGTAAAAACCCAAGAGCAAGTGGAAAAGGAAATCAATAATTCACATCCACATGGAAAAAAAAAAATCACTAGTGAACCAGATTCATAAAGATGATAAGAAACACATTGGACTACTGAAATAGTCTCATTCACTCAAGTACTTTCAAATAGAAATCCACTTTACAAATGTGCCTATTTGTGCACTGTTGCTAGAAAATGTAATTAGGCTTTTTAATATCTTGAGTATAAAAATAACTGATTATTCCGAGAAATTAGTAACTCATTCCCATCTCTAACACTAGCTTGCTTTTCTGAAACGTATCCCAGAAAACCAAAGCATTGCTGCTATATGGCAAGAATGAGACTCAATCTTCTCTCCCACATAATCTCAAATTTTATTCAAGTTGGATGGATATAAAACAAAAATACAGTAATCTGTTTATCAATTTTAATCCTCTGACATTTATTTGGAAAACAGTAACAGTTGTGGGTATTCTACCATGTGAAAGGGAATTTCCAACTTTCCATTTATACATTTTAGAGCATCTTTGGAATCTTCCAACATCCACAATTTTCCCCATCTTATTATGATTAGCTAGGATTTCTTTTTTTTCCTCATGCTTACCCTGATTATTTAAAGGTTTATGACTTCCTTCATAGAAGTTTTCAATTCATATCTTTTAAACCTAGAACAGAATTTTTCAACTCTCAAACTGCCCGAAACTATAATTTCATTAAACAGCCATTTTTGATACTAATTGAACAGATGCAATAGGTAATACAAAAAACAAATTCACCTATATACTAATTCATTAGCATGTGTTACACATGCCTGTTTCAACGAGGCCTAATTTTCAGAAATGAGAGCCAACAGACCTTTAACTCTTCCACATGTAATAAACACCGCCCAAATCTCTTATGCTTACACATAGTAGTATATAAAGATGTTAATGAAATGAACTGACAAAGTGTTTTTCAACTGATGCTATATTTGGACAATAGCTAGCCCTGTGGTGGTGTGTTTTTCTAAAGCGAAAACAAAAATCTACAATCAGGATTATAGAGCTCCCCCAACTGATTATGTTACTAAATGAGGCAGAATATTTTCAAGACAAAGAGTTGGCTGACACTATCACAATGAAAAACTACCAGTGTATTTTTTTTTTTTGAGGCTTAAAACACACCCATACACCAGCTCCAGAAACCAAGCATAACACAAACATACATAGAGTATACACATTAGTACTTCAGATGTATTGGGGTTTTGTGACCTATCAGGTCATCTTGAACATGACCCTTCAGTCATATTATTCAGCAATATGAGGGAGGTAGAAGAATCCAACAGACATTTGAAAAAATTAATTCTGCATCACATGGAAGTCTGAGTTGTGTGTTTTTAACTATTTGCTGCATAGTAGTTAGAGAATGAATATAAGGTTTCAAGTTTTGCCCACATAAAAAGTCTTTTTCTTATTCTAATCCTGACTATAAACTCAATCCTAATATGCTCAAGATCTCTTTAGTAAATGAATAAATTCTGAATATCTGCTTTCTCTAGTTGTCTTCTGCTTTCAGAGACTGACAATGTGCAGTGTGAAGAGGTCTAAATTACATTTTTTCATACTTCCTGCTTAATATTCTACCATATTTTGTTAACTCAAAAATTAAGTCTCTCTCTTGATCTTCGGTAACTTTTAAAAATGTGTTCTGGATAAGTTTGCTTATACAGCATGTGTCACCACAAACTTCCTCACAGCCAGCATCTATTAGCATTCACTAAGCACCCAAAATCACTAGGTCATTTTAATACCATCTACTACTTTCTTTCACGAGATAATCTCAATTTTTCCTTGTAATATGGAAAATTTTTCCTCCACTGAAAGAAGATATAATTTATTTTTATCATTTTATAATGGTACAAAAGTGGTGGTAAAAATCAGCACAAAATGCAAGTTAATGGCATGGGAAGCACTATACAGCCATGCTGAGTCACCTTGCTTTGAGTGAGAATACAGAGCAAATCCAAGAGAAGGGCTCTCTCAGGGTAATTCTGGTCCCTGCAAAAGGCTTTAAATGATCTGGCTGGGCAGAAGGAAGTTTATATTATCAGGAAATGAGAAAGAACCCATTTTCCAGTTTCACTGTGTTTATTTTTCCCCAGTATATTGACAGCAAAGTTTTTTGATACTGTGTTTCTGAAGGGTTTTGTTCTTTCTGGAATATGTTTAATGTGATGATCCAAGAAAACACACCTTCTTTTCTTAAAGTATCAGAATCATCTCAAAGCAAAATATAAAAGCATGTCCTATTTCCCCAGCCTTAAAGCAAAGCATCCTTATACTGAAAGAAGGTGAGAAAGCTAGTGTTTGTAACAGTCCAGCACTGCTTTTTAAAGGTGATAAGAATTTCCTGCATCTGTATCTAAAACAGGCAAAAAAATTAACATATCTTAAAAATATTATTCTGTTCTGAAGAATAACTTGATCCAGGATGAGACATCTTAAAGATCACTAGAGTATTACAAAATAATATCTAAACTTCATTTTAGGATGCTGCTCTGCACGCTTACTCTTACTGCTGCAGTATCAACTGTATTTCAGAAGTAACTTCTGGAAATGGAAATTGAAGACTTGCATACAAATACTTACTGCAGGTATCAGCAACTTTTTTACTTCTTCAACAGCCCTCTTCAGTTTTATTTCTGCTCTGTTCTGAGCATCCTCCACAGTGATAAGTACATGTAAATCTTCGTTCAGGTGTTCCCAGTTGGGCTTGCCTCGGTTCTGTTCTTCCTAAAAAAAAAAAAAACCCAAACATGGAAGCTATCAAGCATTGTTACATTCCGTGTAAAAAAAATTACATAAACAGTAGACAAACTCAATTCTGTGAATAGTTCAAACTGTATTTTCAATGAGATGGGAAAAGACTTCATACTGTGGAGACTGGTTTGCTTTATGTGGTCACTTAACAATAACTTAGGCTTGAAAATATCTTTCTGAGGATATTGTTTGTGTTGGAACCTCATACTTTTTTCTTTTAGAATGCGAAACAATTGTGATTTCTTAGAGTACCTTTCCCAACCGAACAAAGAAACAAGAAGTACTACAAACACAGTATTGCTTTTGATATTCTTTGGAGCCTTTCAAGGGTTAGACAGATAAGACATACTGGTGGTTAAGCAAACTAACATTTTCAAGAAAAGTGAAACAGACACCATATATAGAAACTCTATCTGAATCACTCCAAAGGACAAGAGAGCAATTCTTCAGAGTTAAAAATCACTTTTAAATACTCATGAAGAAAAGGTTCAAGAATCAAACATTACAAAAGCAACAGAAGTTGCAATTTTCAAAGCAGAGCTACATGTACTGGATGAAGGGCAGAGAGGAGGAGATGACAAGGCTTTAATACTGAAGTCACAGAAGAGCATGTAACAAGATGGTCACCGTTACACAGGTACTCTGTTACATCGATGGCATTAATAATCCCAAAGATAAATCTTAGTAATGATTTCAGAAAGGGAGAGCATGCTAAACAAAACATTTTGTAATGTAAACATTTTTAAACAACAGATATCAGTAAATTTAAGTAACACATTCAAGTATCCAGTCTTTCAAAAAAACAAGATAATGAACACGACACAGAAGAAACTTTCCAACTTTGTTTTTATTAAATAGTGAATAAAGCTAGCTAAATTTCCCAGAAACAGGATTTAAATTTGACAATATTTAAAATGTAATAAAATGAGTAAAAGGGGGGGGGGGGGGGGTGGAAATCAAAACTTTAGTAAATGAGAAAGGTTTACTATGAACTTTTGGATCTAAATAAAGGCCCGCATAAACAAAAACACTTATTTAAAACTTAAAATCCTGGGCACAATAAAAGAGCCTCCTATTTGTAAGACAAACATCCGTGCCTTAACCACAATTCACATTTAAAAAAAAAAATAAGGCAAAGTTAATTGTAAATGTGTCTTTTTCCCCAAATTTCATTAAAATTCTTCCAAGTAATCAGACATGCAGAGGAAATGTTTGAAGATTTAATACCAACAAATACTTGCAGTACTTTATATTCCTATGTACCTGAGGAAGCACTGTTCCTTAGAATATTCCATCTTTAGTTCAGCTGCTTTAAGTCTGAAATGTTTTGTGGAATAAACAAGGATAAAAATGGGAAAAAAAAATCATGAGAGATGTAAGGAAAATTTATGTAAAAGAATCAGTACGTTGAGGGAAATTTCTTTTCACTACTCTTCATGTAACATGTGAACATACACACTATTCCATATTATCAGCTACCGTGATTTTTTTTTTAAATGTTATCTTAGCCAACTTTCCAAACAATGGTGGCTGTGAAAATTTCTCTGTGAATTTCAGAAGCTGAAGAAAAAAAGAGAGAAAAATAACCCTAATTTAGAAAAGAGAACTTGACTCAAAGTGCAGCTGAGTTACTACATGTTCTCTGCTGTAATTTAATCTTTGAAAGAACTATCTACCACAAGGTATTTGCAGCTCATTTCACTCAATCATGATCAAAACTCCACTATTACTATTTAAACAATTTAATTTATTTTTTTTTTAGTCCAAAGCAGGAGTGAGCTGTTTTCTTTTAAGATGGCGACAAGCTATATTAATATGAGGTAGTACAAAGTATTATGTTACAGGTATGATGAATGAGAGAAGGTTCCTAACCCAGCAGAGGGCAGAGCAAGGAACATGCTGCTACCTCTTCTCGCACTGACTGCTGGGGAGCTGACACAATGCTGGAACGGGAAAGGTACGGGTTAGTAACATGAGGTGCATGATAACCAGCACAACTATAGTACCACAGAAAAGAGAAAAAAAAATAAAAGGCAAGAGGGATAAATGACAAGGAAAGGTGTCCCCAAGGAAAATGGCAAGTTCTGTTCCTAAAAGAGAAGGAACGCCTAAATGCAGTTTTAGCTACCATGTGATTAAATGGCATGCTTATACGTAGTGTGGGCACAAACATATAGGGGCCTTACTGCACTGTATCGATTTCTTTCATAATAAAAATAATACGCTGCAAAGTCTCAAAACTTGGCAGATTTGGAGGAGTTACCTACCACCTGTCAGCAACAACAAAAAAACCCACACATATTGTTACAGTGGATGTATGCCTGATTTGTAACTTTCAGAATACAGAAAAAGACTTTGTTATATAAAACAAAGTAGCCTGCCTCTCTGTTATTTGGTATTTAAATATTTTACATTAACATAATCTCAACTATTGGTGCTGTACTTCAAATTATTCTGTTGCAGCATGAGGATTTTTTTGAGTGTTTTTGGGGGTGGTTTTTTTTTTTTTTGGTTTGTTTTTAAAAAGCTGCACATAGGACAATAAATAGATGATACTGTAGCTCTTTTTTCCACAAAAAGTTATACTCCCCCTAATTTACTTTTAGGTAGAACACATTGTGTGTAAGGTCAATAATCACACAACTATTAAGGTCAGGCCTCACAACACAAACGATCATACAAATACCTATCAGTATAAGTGAACTAGTATATGACTAGTTCTACATATGGTCTTCTATGGTCATGAAGTGTTCTAGTATATTAATAGAAGTCCTATTGTTGTGGAAAGTACTATTTCTCAAGGCAAATGGTAAGACTGAAAGAAAGTTTAAGAAGAATAGAAGTCCACAAGATATGTTTTGAAAAAACAATTAGTAAAAAAAAAGTTAATAGAGTTTGGAATGGGCTTCAAATTTCTTCTGTTCCACCTCAACGGACCAGGGCTTAGAATTCCTCCACTGCTTCTATTCTGTCCCACGATGTTGCTTTCTTAGTGGGTTAACAGTTTTCCAAGAAATGTCTTTTGGTTTATTGAAAATGCTAGTGGAAAGTAATACCAATATGTATGTTCAATTATTTATTTGCTTGCTTGTTTTTACCAAAAGCGTGAAATTCAGATCTACACTAGGTCATTCATTCAAACAGAAAGTCAGATGCAAAATGTATGACAGGGCTAGGCTCACGGGAGGAGAGATAACCTGCAATCTCTTGCAGTTAAGAGCTGCAATTTTTTATGCTACCTCATTCTCCTTTTAAATCCTGAAAGGATGGTTTGGGAAAACATCTTTTCCCCCAAGTAAAATCTTTACTTAAATTAAACTAGTCCTCTGTGCAACAAGTCTTGAAAACAACTTTTTCCAACCCTGTTTTATTATAGAAAATGCTGAACGGGTAAATTGAATGTATCTGGAATTCAAGTTGGAAGGTGTCTTTCTTAAGACTCATGAAATATAGTCCAAGACTTTAAGGGTCTGTTAGGGTTTTCTTTTGAAATTGCTTGGCAAGAAAATGGTGGAAAGATGGGCAGGAGAGAATGACTACAACTTTCCCTGCTGCATAACTTTGTAGAAAGAAACTACAAACTGTGGCTATCTTGAAGTGACGTGCAGCTAAGACAAACCAGCTTACTTCACAGAACCAGAGAACGGCTGAGGTGGGAAGGGACCCTGGACACCATCCTGCACACCCCCCTGCTCAGGGCAGCGTTAACCCTGAGGGCAGAGTTGCCAAGGGCCAGGTTTTAAATGTCTCCAAGGATGGAGAAAAAGCTTTTTCTTATGTTTAAATGTAATTTATTTTATTTCAGTGTGCCCATTGCCTCTTGTCCTTCAGTAGTAACTGTTGAGCAATTCAGCCTGACTGCCAGGTCTATCTACAGAAAAAGCATTGAGGAGTAACAGAAATTGCCATGAGTTACTTTGGGCAAAAAGCATTTGTTACCACAGCAGGAAGAGTATGAGCACAGAAGAAGAAACAGCACCAAGAAAACTTGAATAAAAGACTGGGGAGGGGGAGAATTCAATTGCATGTATTCAAAATTATATAACATACACAAGTAGTAATTTACAGCATGAAGTTTTCCTGCATCCCAGAGACTGTTTATGGAAGAATTATACAGGAAAAATTGAGGCAGTGAAGATGCAGGAAACTACGGAGTAAAATGATTTATGCCACAACCTTGGGAACAACAATATTAGAAAAGCTTAATTACAACCAAACTATCTTGTCTACTAAATTAAAGAACATTAAGAGCAACATAACTGGCAGATGAAATTTCACTGTGCTCCTTGTTTGGCAGAAATTTCAGTATCCTTAAATATAGCCTAATTCTGTAAACAGGTTCCGCTTTCATTCTGTTGCCTGTGCGTATACACTTATTATCCTCAGGGTACCTATACACAATAACGGACTTGAAGAAACTGCTCAATATTTATCTTGCTATTAAGGTCAATGGATCAGGTAGTTTAAAAAAACAACCTTGCTACAACTCCTCGAAATTTAGTTGCACAAAAACAAAAGAAAAGGTAACAATTACAGCATTTTTTTGTTATGGGGGGGGTGGTGGAACAAAGGATGCAACTGACTTGCATCCATACAGCCAGGCTTTAATATTAGAAAAGTTGTTCCACGAGGAGAAATACTGAAGTCCAGCTCCCTGTTGATTTGTGTCCCGTGTTTTCCGTACACCTCACCCTACCACAGTAATTCCAAGTCATGGTCTTATACCTCCTGCATCTCAGTCCTGTAAGGCCATTTCTACTTGCATCTTCATATCCTATCCCAAAGTTTCCTTCTTAATACCTCAACTATTGACTTAACAAGAAAGAGACAGCAGCTTACTAGCTTTCTATAAGCTATGCAAAGCAGATAACTGAAAACTCAGTACATCTCTTCCCTTGACTAGAGGTATTTAGGCCTCTCCTCTATCTGGCCGATAGTTTTCAAAAAACTTTAAACCCAAAAGGAAAGAAGTG